CACTGTGCTTAAGCAGAGCAGAAACTGAATTGCGCCCTTAAATGCCGCATGGACTGCTCCAGTCCCAGTCTCTTGGAAGATTACCTGTTTTGTTGTGATGTGCCCACCTCTTGCCTTCAGTGCCACTTTGTGATCCCATACCTTTGCCTTGGGGCTCTTGTGCAATGACCTATTCAAATATCTGTCCCCTCAAAAAAACCAAACGTCATAGAGGGTACAAATTGGGTTCCAGTTATTTCTGTGTTATCTGTGTCCTGTAATGATACAGTATGAATGATTCCCAGAAACTGCTGAGGATTCCCATTGTAAAATATGAATTCCTAGGGCTGGCACTGTGGTGTAGCAGTTTACGTAGAGCATCACATATGGGTACTTGTTCAAGTCCCATTTGCTTCACTTTCACTTCCAACTCAGCTTCCTGCTAAAGGCCTGGGAGAGCAGAAAAGGTTGGACCTTTGCTCCCATGTTTTATACATGGGAGAAGCTCCTGGATCCTGACTTCAGACTGACCCAGTGCAGCTGTTGCAGCCATTTGAAGAGTGAACCAGCATATGGAAGATCTCTTTGCCTCTCTCTCTCTTTCTGTAAATCTGCTTTTCAGAGAAAAAGAAATAAATCTTAAGAGAAAAAAAAAACTTTCAGGAAGCCATTCTCTACATCAATCCAGCATTCAGCTTTGTAATTTCGCTCCTTTCACTCTAAAAATTAACATTTGCTGTTTCTAGTTGTATAGCACAGTCTAAGGCCATAATTATGCTTTTCACTGGTGGAATTACCAGGATGGCTTTTCTGGGATTAACAACCTCGAGTGCATATTCATCCTTCCATGGTTACCAGGGAAGGCAGTGGTGCTTCTCTGATGCTGGGCAGCAATGGTGCGCTCTCATTACTCTAGGAGCCAAGACCCTTATACAGTTACACTAGTTACTGCTAGAACTAGTGGTAGAAGCCTGTTTGTGGTCACTGTCACTTCATGAAGCGCGCCAAATGAGTATTTTTAAAACCAGACTACTCCCCACTTCCTCCTCAGTAAATTCTTAGCATTTCTACTGGAGAAATCCATTTCAGACTGCTTCTTAGAGGTAATTACAAAACTAAACAGCTATCTCTGAGAGACTCACTCTTAGAGCAGTTATTCCAGTAAGCACTGACAGGTGGTTCCTACGAAGACAGTGCCACCACCTTCAAGAGGCATGCTGGTAGGAAAGAATGGCTGCTTTTGCCTCTCCCATGGTCATGATCATTTGGAAAAAGGCATATGCTTCTCTCTGTCCTGGTTTACCCACCTGCAAACCCTTCCACTAGCTCTAATGTGAGAAGCCTGAATTGACTACTGCTGGGAGGTCAAAGACAGGATCTACTTTATGGACTGTGAACACTGAGGTTCTAAGGCCACAGAAGTCATCTGGTGATGACAATCCTGGAGCCAAGATCCAAAATCTGATTCTGAGCAAATGCTTTGGCCTCTGTGCTATCAAGCCCATTCTGTGAAATAGGGCCAGGAGGCCCCTACTCTGACAGATGCCAGACTAGGTGGGAGACATGGACACAAAACAAACAGTGAGTGCATGCTGCGAAATGTGAATTAATCTGATGTTATCCTTAGGGAAATAAAACTTGGACCCAAGGTTGACAATGGACAGGTACTTTGAAAACCTCAAGTCCTTCTAATTAATCCCCTTTGCCCTATTACTCCGCTGGGATACCTCTCATTCTGTGCTCACTGTCCTAGGTAGTGCTGTTCCGGATCAGGAAATGTATAATCCTTTCATAAACTCCTGCAACACAGTTACTAAGAGGCTGGAATATGCAGATAAAACTTAACCAGAAAAAGCTCAGAGATGATATAAGTACAACAAATACAGGTTGTCTGCTTTATAAAATGTACTTGTTTGGGGCCAGCATCATGGTGCAGAGAGTAAAAACACCATCTACAATGCCAGCATCCCATTTGGATTCTGGTTGGAGTCCCAACTCCATTTTTTTAATATTTATTTTATTTTTATTGCAAAGTCAGATATACAGAGAGGAGGAAAGACAGAGAGGAAGATCTTCCATCCGATGGTTCACTCCCCAAGTGACTACAGTGGCTGGTGCTGCACCAATCCAAAGCCAGGGGCCAGGAACTTCCTCCAGGTCTCCTACACATGTGCAGAATCCCAAGGCTTTGGGCTGCAGGGAGCTGGATAGGAAGCGGGGATGCCAGGATTAGAACTGGTGCCCATATGGGATCCCAGAGCGTTCAAGACTTTAGCCGTTATGCCACTGCGCTGGGCCCAACAGCTCCACTTTTGATTCAGTTCCTTGGTAATGTATCTGAGAAAGCAGTGGAAGATGGCCCAAGTGCTTGTGCCCTTACTCCCCATATGGGGGACCTGGAGGAATCACCTGGTTTCTGGCTTTTGTCCATCCTAGCTCTGGCAGTTGCAGCCATTTGGGGAGTAGACCAGCAAACAGATCTCTGTCTCAGTCTCTTCCCCCACCCCACCCCCTTAACTCTAACATTCAAATAAATAAATCTTGAAAAAAAAAAAGATTCACATGTTCGTCTTCAACTTGAGATTCCCTATAGTACATTTCCTACATCCCTCTAGAACTTGCAAAAATAATTTTTCTCACCACCTGGAAGTATCCTCAATACCCAATGCATGTCAGAAATACAAGGAGTTCTTTGTTTCTAGTCTCAAACCACTGACTCTGGAAACATGTTCAATTCCACCACCATAAGGAAAAGCAAAGGACAGTGGTCTTGCCCTGTATTACCAAAAAACAGCCATTTTCACAGTGCACCATTACAAGCTCAAATACTAACTAGCAAAGTGCTTTGAGGGACATAGAATAAAATTTGAAAAGTTCATACAGAATGAGAAATCTTTCCTCTAAGAACCCAAGAGTGATATCCCGTTTTGAAAACCTATAGTTTGTGTAGCTGAACACTCCATTATAAAATGCTGTGTACCATTTTTAAATTATTTCCAAACAAGATTCGAAGTACATGTAAAACCTCTCCTTTTCTTTTTTAGATTTATTTATTTTTATTGGAAAGACAGATCAGACTTATGGAGAGATGGAAACAGAGAGTGAGCTTCTGTCCACTGGTTCACTCCCCAAAGGCTACAATGGCTGGAACTGAGCCAATCTGAAGCCAGGAACCAGAAGCTTCTTCCAGGTCTCCCATGTACGCACAGGGTCCCAAGGCTTTGGGCAATCCTCTACTGTTTTTCCAGGCCACAGGTAGGGAAGTGGATGGGAAGTGGAGCAGCCAGGACACAAACTGGCACACATATGGGGTCTCAGTGCTCACAAAGTGAGGATTTAGCCAGTTGAGCCATTACACTGGGCCCTCTGCTTTGCTAATATTCCTTCATCCATGGATCCAGGTGTGGGATATACTCATGTGGATGAAGCGGAAATAAATATACGACTGATGAATAATTTTTCACAAGTTCCCTAACCCCTAGAAGAAATGGTGCTTTCTGAGTAGGAAGCAAAGATTTGATTTTGGCTGGATGCTTGAAATGAGTTGATATGACCACACCCATGTCCCTGGAACTAGTGCAGTTTTCATTGACTTGATTTTCTAAGACAGTCTGAGGGAAGAAGAAATGGCTAATGAAAGGATAAGATGCCATTGTCTAGTGTCCAACTGACCAACTAATCAAGTCTTTCAGCTCCCAACATAGATAATGGATTCATCACTACCAGTTTTCAGCTTGTTCCCACCCAGTTTCAGTCTTGACAGTCCTAGTCTTCTTCAGGAACAGTGTAGCTGACTACAAATGGCTTTACTGCACTAGGGCCCTACAATCACCTCCTCAAAGCTATTTCCTGATAAAGAGTTACAGACAAATAGCCAGCGTCTCATAGAGGCAACACTCTAGAATTAAAGACCAGAATCATTCCATAGTGACACAATCAATCTGCTATCTATTGGCTCATTCCCCCAAGTGGCTACAAGGGCCAGGGCTAGACCAGGTCAAAACCAGGAGTCTGGAACTCTACTCCATCTGGCCTCCCACCTGGGTGGCAGGGGTCCAAGTACTAAGACCATTTTTTGCTATCTTTCCACATGCATTATCAGGGAATCAGATCAGAAACAGAGCAGCTGGGACTAAAACCAGAGCTCTAATATGGGAAGCCAGCATGTCACAGGCCGTGTCTTAACTTGCTGCACCACATGCCAGCACCTCCTTTGCTAACTTCTTATAACCAGATCTCTTCCCTTTCATCTAACACAAAAGAGTATAGGAGTATGTGTGTATGCATGCAAATGTATCCAGAGGCAGGAATAAAATGACAGCTTTGGGGGGAAGGTACAAAACTTCCATACATTTCTCTAGAAGATTTTAATTCAGCTCTTGGGCAAAGGTCACATAGGATATGTTCGGTGGTCTTATGGCCCTTCCATCAGTGATCTAAAAGTACTGTTTATATAAGTCTCCTCACAGTGGTATCCTAGGCCACTTGGCCTGAGGTGCCTGGTTTGAAGCAAGGCCAACTTCCTCTGAAAGCAACTGTTTTCTAACCTGGTCACACAGCAATTTGGACAGTAAGAGAATACTACAGAGACCAGTTGATGCCAAAGGGGTACTGGCAGGGTGACAGAAACTCATTCACATGGATAGAAAATGGGTCAGTACATTATGGCCCTCAAAACCTCCACTCATGTGGCTAAAAATCACTGAGTTCCTGATCTTTGCAAATCTCTTAACTGCCCTCATGCCATCTGCTCCTATAACACACACTCAGAAAACTGAAATGAAACATGAAGGCCCTCAATATTCACATGTTTTCTGGCTTGACACTGAAAGGCTTCTGCTCCGAGATGATATAGGCTCTCTAGGGACTCACTATATAGAATAACGAGTCCTATGTGACTAAATGTTAACTTTATAACAAGTCTCTATATTTCTAAACTGGTCAATAATTAGGTTTTCTAACACAGCTTTTTTGGTAAAAGAGGCCAGTCTCTCAGAGTTGTGAATGTAAACCCCTCATACCTTGGATGTGAGGTCCCGATGAAAAATGCCTTTGAGGTGAAGGTAGCTGAGGCCCACTGCAATGTCACGGGCTAATTTCACCCTCACAGTCCAGGGCAAATGCAGGTTACTGTCTAGCAACTGTTCCAGGTTCCCGGAGTTCATATACTGCAAAACAGAAGCAAAACCCTGCTACCATTTATCAGAAAGATTGAAGTTGGTGGCCAAACCACTAGCGTATACCTAGAAGAGAAGGACTGGTGAGGATGGTTATTTTCAACTTTGTGGGAGTTTATTCTGCATCCAAGTACTATTATAGGTTCTGCAGAAAATATTTTCTTTGAGGACATCGTAATTTATTAAGGGATATAGACAAATAATGTCATGTAGCCAAGACTAAAATATGGACAGGTAGGGCAGCACTGTGCCACACTGAGGACTTTGGTCTGGGCAAATCAGAGAAAGCTGTTGAGGAAACAAGGAGTGGGCAAGTGGAGCTGGGTGGCAGGAAAGGACAGTCTGCACACAGTGAGCAGAATATACAAAGTGACAGGTTAAGCTGCATTTGGGGAATCTACTCCTTATGATCAGATTCTTGCATAGGAGAGAGAGTCAAGAAGTGACACTAATATGATGTTGCTAAAAAGTATGGATTTTATCCTTCCTAGAGGGATCATGAAGTATTTTTTAAGATGCATTTATTTTTATTGGAAAGGCAGATACACAGAGAAGAGATAGAGAAAGATCTTCGGTCTACTGGTTCACTCCCCAAATGGCTGCAATGACCCAAACTGAGCCAATCCGAAGCCAGGAACCAAGAGCCTCTTCTTGGCTATTTATATTATCGCTTCCTTCTATTCATTGTATCACTTCCAAAAATACTCTTTTATTTACAAAAGAAACATAGCCATGTTGCTTAAATACTTCATGGGGCCCAGTGTGATAGCCTAGTGGCTAAAGTCCTCGTCTTGCATGTGTCAGGATCACATATGGGTGCCAGTTCATGTTCTGACACCATTTCTCATGAAGCTCCCTGCTTGTGTCCTGGAAAGCAGCAGAGGATGGCCCAAAGCCTTGGGATCCTGAACCTGTGTGGGAGACCCAGAAGAAGCTCCTGACTCCTGGCTTTGGATTGGCTCAGCTCTGGCCTTTGCAGCCATTTGGGGAGTGAATCATCGGACGGAAGATCTTCCTCTCTGTCTCTCCTCCTCTCTGTATATCTGACTTTCCAATAAAAAAAAAATAAATCTTAAAAAAAAAAAGGAAGAAATTCCTAAAAAGGAAACAACCAACACTATCAAATGGGCCTGAAAGGGGGTCATTGAATTTGCAACTAGGAAGTACTGGCAACCATGGCCAAAGTAGTTTTAGTAAAGTGGTTAAGATCAGATTTAGACTGAAGTAAACTAAGTGAGCAGAAAATAAGGTCAGGAAAGCACTATATGAACATCTACCTTTTCAAGAAATTTGATTTCTCTTTATTCCTATGTACACATGAAGGGTTGCTTTGCCTCTTTTGTTTTTCAGAGTGAATATGCATTTTATATAAAAAAAATAATAGCAGCTAATTTAAAAAATTGTTTTTGGACCAGCATTGTGATGTAGCATGTAAAGCCACTGCCTGTGACGCCAGTATCTATATGAGCTCCAGTTTCAGACCTAGTTCTTCACTTCCAGTTCAGCTCCTTGTCAATGAACTTAGGAAAGCAGCAGAAGATGTCTCAAGTGCTAGGGCCTCTGCTACCCATGTGGGAAACCCGAAAGAAGCTCTGGGCTCCTCAAGCCATTGTGGTCCTTTGGTGAGTTGACCAGTAAATGGAAAATACCTCTCTCTGTGTGTCTTTCCTCATGTCAATTCAACTCTGCCTTTCAAATACTAAACAAAAGGGTTTTAAAATTTTTATTTTAATTTTCTTTGGTACACACAACAGTGAGAGAGAGAGAGAGAGAGAGAAAAAAGAAAAGAGAAAAGAAAAGAAGAGAATATTATATTTCATTTGCTGGTTTGCTCCCAAAATGCCACAATAAGCCATAGCTAAGCCAAATTGAAGCCAAGAATTCAGAACTCCACCTGGGTCTCCTATGCAGGTTGCAGTGACCCAGGTATTTGAGCCATTATCTGCTGCTACCCAGGATGAGGAATACAGGAATGCCAAGTAGAGACTTAACAGCCAAACATACACCCCAGCAGCTAATACTTACATAGTGCTTACACTATGCCAAGCTCTCTTTATTCTTTTTTTTAAAATCTTTTAAAAGATTTATTTGATTTTTTATTGCAAAGTCAGATATACAGAGAAGAGGAGAGACAGAGAGGAAGATCTTCCGTCCCATGATTCACTCCCCAAGTGGCTGCAATGGCTGGTCCTGCGCCAATCCGAAGACAGGAGCCAGGAACCTCTTCCACGTCTCCCACACGGGTGCAGGGTCCCAAGGCTTTAAGCCGTCCTCGACTGCTTTCCAGGCCACAAGCAGGGAGCTGGATGGGAAGTGGAGCTGCCGGTCAAAGTGAGGACCTTAGTCACTAGGCCACGCCTCTGGGCCCAGCTCTCTCTATTCTTTTTTCTTTTCTTTTTTTATTAATTACATCACATTATGTGACACTGTTTCATAGGCTCCGTGATTCCCCCAATCCCTCCCCATACCCTCCCCCATGGTGCAGTATTACAATTCAAATTCAGTCAAGATTCTTTCATTGCAAGCATAGCGTCCAGCATCTTATTGTCCAGATAAATTAATGGTTTCTTGGGGAGACCATCTCTGGTCTGAAGGCAGAGCTGGCAGAATATCATCCCGATCAATTAAAAGCCACAACATAACATCAACAACAATTTACAACATTATGGAATTAATTGACATGATATTGAGTAACAAATACGTTAAAAAAATGCAAGTTCTTTTTTTTTTTTTAAAGATTTATTTTATTTTTATTGGAAAGGCGGATATACAGAGAGGAGAGACAGAGAGGAAGATCTTCCATCCGATGATTCACTCCCCAAGTGAGCGCAACGGCCGATGCTATGCCGATCCAAAGCCAGGAGCCTCTTCCAGGTCTCCCAAGCGGGTGCAAGGTCCCAAAGCTTTGGGCCGTCCTCGACTGCTTTCCCAGGCCACAGGCAGGGAGCTGGATGGGAAGCGGGGCTGCCGGGATTAGAACTGGCGCCCATATGGGATCCCAGGCATGCAAGGCAAGGACCTTAACCACTTGCGCCACTGCGCCAGACCCAAAAAAATGCAAGTTCTTAACCACATCCTGTGACTACTTCATTGGCATTTCAATTTTAATTTATACACAGAACCGGCTGCTATACACCTTAAAATGGCTATAGGGTACTATTCAGCTCTCTTTATTCTAAGTGGTCATATGAGAATGCACACACACACACAAGACATACATATAAGGATGCCTAACTACATATTCTTATATATACATATAGATATGCATATACATATAGAAATATAATACATGACATTCTATATGTGCACATACAACACATAAGAACATGTACTTACATATTCTATATTTATTCTTATATATATTATATTAATTGTATATGTATATTCCTTCATATATATGCATAGTTTCTTATACATATGTATATACTCTCTTATCTGTATCTGCACAATAATTAGCCCTATGGGGTTAACTGGCCCATTACTTTCAGTGTACAGAATGCATTTAGAGGTTACTCAACTTGCTCAAGGTTACTCAATTATTAAGTGGCAGACAAGGCTGGCTACAGAGTCCATATTCTTTTTTTTTTAAGATTTATTTTATTTTTATTACAAAGTCAGACATACAGAGAGCAGGAGAGACAGATGTAACATCCTCCATCCGATGATTCACTCCCCAAGTGAGCGCAACGGCCGGTGCTGTGCCAATCCGTTCCGGGAACCAGGAGGCTTTGGGCCATCCTCAACTGCTTTCCCAGGCCACAAGCAGGGAGCTGGACCGGGAATAGAACCAGCGCCCATATGGGATCCCAGATGTGCAAGGTAAGGACTTTAGCCACTAGGCCACGCCGCCAGGCCTCACAGTCCATATTCTTAATCATTACATTGTACTGGAGAGGCAGAGATGGCACCCTATTTTTTTTTAATTTATTTTATTATTTATTTTTATTTGAATGGCATAGTTACAGAGAAAGGACACAGAGAGAAATTCCATCCACTGCTTCACTTCCCAAATGGCCACAATGGCCAGATCTGAGCTGATCTGAAGCCAGCAACCAGGAAATTCGTCCAGGTTTCCCACATGGGTGACATCGGCCTAAGCACTTGAATACATTAGCAGGCAACTGGATTGGAAGCGGAGCAGCTGGGGACTTGAGCAGATGACCATATGGAATGCTAGCACCACAGACAGGAGATTAGCCCGATGTGCCAAGGCACTAGTGCCAGAGATAGTTCTTTTAACTCAAAGAGCCTCACATGGAATAGGAATTTAAAATGAATTTACTCAAATCCTGCATGATGCATTATAACTCTTGTCCTTTTAAGGGGGAAAGGGAGTGTAAATTACTCTAAGCCTAAAATTCATTCCTTAATAGTTTCAGAGTGATATAGAATTTGCAAAATACTAAGGAATCTAACAAGGTAAGGGACAAGAGAGCCAAACGCTTGTCCAGTTTTGCCAACTACATGACATTTAATTTGGGAAATGTCAAGTAATGTGGCTACATATGCTTCAGCTTTTTCATTTATAAATGGGAGTGACGATCCTTAATCTGCTTAATTTATAATGTTATTATGAATATAATAAAAATATGAAAGCACTTAGAAAAAATTTCAATGCCCCCTAAAACATCACTTCTGATGTGGGAACATATGCACCAAAATGAGCCAGTTGAGGGCAGCACCACACAGCACTTCATATCCATGGATAAAGTGGATCAGGTTTGGCAAGGCACAGAGAATAGCCGAAAACACAGCTTGTACCTTCTCAAAAAGGAAACCTGTTGATCTGCTTCATCCTGCTTGATAATCCATCTTTAGAAATCTCAAAATAAGATATAATGATAGCACTAGTACAGTGCCTTCTCTTTGTGCTAGTTAAAATCTCCCCAGTGTGCCTATTTGCTGAAATGAAAGTGACCTTGAAAACTCTGAGGTTTATGAGGGCAATGAAGCTGACATTTAAACATACAGGCAGATTTCTTTAGTTCTGA